CCCCTGATAGTTCCAACCCATCAGTCTTTGCCACCTTCCTTCTTCTTACTATCAACCAGCCACACTTCTCCAGTCTGAATGGCATCCTGATGTCCTCACTGAACATCTGTGGCAGGTGGATCAGTGAGTTCTTGGCATACAGCACATTGTTGTCCATGTAGAGGAGGTGGCTGATGGTAGCTCCACTTTTGAATTTATTTCCATACCCACTTCTTGTGATGATCTGACTGAAGGGTTTCATATATACATATATATACTGTATATATATATATATACTGTATATATCAACAGCTGTAATGAGACTAACAGTGCTCCTGTGTCTGACTGGACTCATGCAATATGTTATGGTTCAGGGCATCAGAGTAGTCTGGTGGTTGAGGAATGTACCATATTGATTGTAATATCCCTGATCTGTCTTTGCATAAAGGCAAAAACAACCCAAATATACTGTACTTTAAAAATAATAGTTGCACATTTATCTCACTGTATGAATGGAATAAAATACTAACATCTAATTCATCTTTGAGAACATATATTGTCTGACTGAGAGTAGTGGAGCAGGAAGTGTGACAAGGCCTCAGGTGCTACTTGAGCATTAATTTTAACATTTATGGTTTGATTCATTTATTGTACATATTGATGTTTTTATTAGCTTTTTGTCCTATTTTTCTACTGGGATACATGCCCTTTTTTGCATGAAACAAATGTCACAGTTCAATGAACACCATAATTTTCCACAGAGTAATGACAGTTCAGAGGGTTTTTATATCCCATATACTGTTAGCCTCAGGTGAGGCCCTTTGTCTTAGTTCCTCTGCTAATACTGTCATGGATGTGGCCAGGTCTGCCCAGATTCCATCTAAAGAAATTAGCACGAGGCCAAATCTTAACAGTGATGACAAAGCTAAAGCTCCTCTGTGGAGCCAGAATCCCTTCACTTCCTCTAAAACGTCTTCCGTACTGTTGAAAATCCCACTGTATCGGCTCTGATATGGACAATCAGACCCTAATCTGAGCTGGGTGTAGAGGACTGCTGGTTCATCGGGTTTAAGTCAGAGCTTTGAGGGATATGTGGAGAAACTTCTACATTTTAGTCTTTCACGTATTGGGACAAGCTGCTGGCAGTACTCTTTTCTGGACCGACAATTTAGGAGGTTTCTGGCAGCTACAGTGTTGAAGTCAGATGGGGTTAGCTCCACCAGGGGGGACTTGAGCTCCCCAGAAGCAACAACAAATGTTTTAAGGTTGTAAATTACTTTGAACGGAGGCAACATTTATGCCCTGAAGAATACAATATCGCACACACACACCTTAAAGACCCCTGCAGTGGATCATACCATTTCCGGTCCCTAATGTGAGCCTTTTGACCCCTCAGCTGACACCAACATTTGA